TTAGATATAGGTCTATAGTTGGCTAAGAAGAGGTTTAATTACAGCTACTTTAAAGTACTGTGGTACATAGCCTGTTGATAAAGATAGATTGATCATATCTAGTATAGAAGTGCTGACTAAGGGTAAAACATCTTTAAGCAGCCTAGTCGGGATGGGGTCTAAGAGGCAGGTTGATGGTTTAGATGAAGAAATTATTGAAGTTAGTTGGTAAAGATTGAGTGAAGCAAAACAGTCTAAACATGTATCTGGTTCTACAGCTGTTTCTAAGGTTCCTGAGTTAAGAGATAAGTCGGTGCCAGTTGAGGGCAGGTCTTGGTGAATTTTGTCTCTAATAGCTAGAATTTTATCATTAAAGAAGCTCATGAAGTCGTAACTACTGAGAGCTATGGGAATACTTGGCTCAATAGAGCTGTGACTCTCTGTCAGCCTGGCTACAGTGCTGAAAAGAAACCTGGGGTTGTTCCTATTTTCCTCTATTAATGACGAGTAGTACGCTGCTCTGGCATTACGGAGGGCCTTCCTATAAGTTTTAAGACTATCTTGCCAAATTAAACGAGAATTTTCCACTTTGGTGGAACGCCAATTCCTCTCAAGTTTCCGTGATATTTGCTTTAATTTGCGAGTTTCAGTATTATACCATGGAGCTAACCGTCTTTGTTTTAGTATTTTCTTTTTTAGAGGGGCAACAGAGTCGAGTGTCATTCGCAGCGAGCCTGCAGCACTATCAACAAGATGATCGATTTGGGAGGGACTGAAATTAGCACAGGAGTCCTCCGTTACTTTGTGACTAGATAATGTATTTAGAGCTGATGGAATCGCATCCTTAAATTTAGCTACAGCACTATCAGACAGACATCTTGTATAGAAATTTTTGCCCAATGGCGAGTAGTTCAGCAATACAAACTCAAAAGTTATCAAACAGTGGTCGGATAAAGAGGGATTCTGTGGGAACACCACTAAATGTTCAATTTCAATACCATACACCAAAACAAGGTCGAGGGTGTGGTTAAAACAGTGAGTCGGTTCATGAACACTCTGAGAGAAGCCAAGGGGTGGATTCATTTAGGCTAACATATTCTCCATCACCCAGCCAGGTTTCAGTAAGACCAAATAAATCAATATCATAATCTGATATTAGTTCATTTACTAGTACACCTTTAGAAGAGAGAGATCTGATGTTTAAGAGTCCACATTTAATTTTCCTATTAGTTTGCACTATTGCTCTTGTGGTTTTAATTTTTATGAGGTTTTTATGCACAGCTCCTCTTCTGTTTACCTTTTTAAATAATTTCGATGGTCGGGGGACAGACACCGTCACTATAGGATTTTCACTAAGTAACTCCTGAAATGGAGGAGCAGAGAAGTGTGTTAGACTGCGACTCTGCCTCCTGGTCTCAACTCTGGGTTGTCATGGATTTGGTCCACTAATAAACTTGGCCAGATTTCTAGAAATGAGAGCTGCTCCTTCCCAAGTGGGATGGATGCCGTCTCTCCGGATCAGACCAGGTCTTCCCCAGAAAGTCTGCCAATGATCTACTAAGCCCACATCGTTTGCTGGACACCACCTCGACAACCAACAATGAAAGGATGATCAACTCGTATTGCAACTGCAGGTTCACTTCTGCTGGTTTCCACTGTGGGATCCCATGAAGCTTTACAACTGCTTCTACTATTAAGTATTACAGTATGATCTACACCGACCAGTACCTCTGACAGGTAAATAACATCGATTATCTTGTTACCATGGAGTTACACAGTGGAGTCCAGTATCAATATCTGTATTTTTAGCACTTGCATAAAAATACAGAACTATAAGCCTAAAGAACAAAGAAAAGTCTAAATGAAAAGCACATTACACTCAAAAATGTTGTGCAGCCATAAAAAAAAAAAAAGTCAATGAGAGATTCATTCTGCCTCAGCATCGCGTCTTTGTTCTGGGTCCGGCCAGAGGACTTCATCCACGTCACATGCAACCTTGTCCCTTGCCTTGGAGGAAAACCGTCTGGAGAGCTGGATGCAGCCTTACTGCAACACCACTCCACACCTATCTCACCACCACCACCTATCTCGCTGCCAATTCCACTGCCTGTAAGAGATTTTCCCCAGTAAATGAATTTCGGGCATAGATCTTCCACCACCAGGCAGAGAGAAACTCCTTTATTGGATTGAAGTATGGGCTGTATGGTTGAGGGTAAGAATTTATGAATCGCTCGTTGCTGGTTTACGTTGAACCACTTGCTTAGCGGGACACCACAGTGCAAGCTGACATCGTCCCATAGACAGGATGTACCTGCTGCTCACGCTCAACACAAAATTCCAAAGACCACCCAGAAGAGTAAGACAATGTTCAGTGTTATATGGCCCCAGGTTGAATGAAGTAGAGAACCTGTCCCTTATAGCTTGGTCAAAGGGTGACACTTGACCACATATTGGTTCAATCACATCATTAGGAACAGAATTATGAGTTGTTCTGTGTAAAAGATGACAGCTGTGTTGTAGTTGTGTTTAACTTGTGTGCATCACAGTGCAAAATGTGTTTTAGTAAGTGAGAATGTGTTTAGAGTTTTGCAAAAAGAGTGGGTGGGATTTGTAAAAAGTGTCTTAGCTACCTGAACTTGTTTAAGGTTTTGCCAAAAGAGTGAATGATTCGACAAATGGATTTAGGCCACTGAGCATTTGGTTCAAAGAATGGGGTTTACTGTTTTAGCAATTGTAAAAAACTGTCATTTAAATTCACTCCTCTCTTTTTTTGAGTACTTTTCTGTTGCTGAAGCTCATCATGTTTCATAACCTGTGCAGCAACCACCAGAACCATCACACTTGCAATAATCCATATGTAACGGAAGGTCATCAACTTTTACAAAACTGTCAAATTTGTATTTCTGTCTCAATAAAGTCATCACCTAACCTCCATTCACTAGCTGTAAGCTTGACAAAAGCTAAATCTATCAAAACAAATAATGCTTTCTCTACAGCCAGAACAGGACAGATCTCAAGACTCTGAGGGTTGCATTGTTCCATGCTTACTGAGAAAAGTGTTACAGACTGTGAGATAAAATGGTAAGGACTAGGTTGTGTATGAAAGAATCACATCACTTTAACGTGTACCAGAGATGCAGAATGTCAGCAGGGTTTTAGAAATAAGGCTGAATGAAAAAAATATCATATTGGGATTATTTTGTCACATATTTTAGTGGGAATAGTAATTTTGCATTTCACTTTCACTGAAAGAATATAACAATTTATGATATTGATATTTTTCTTGGGGTCTGTGCACCACAATGCTTTTATAATTTATAATGGTATGTTGTGACACATTTTATCATCATGAAAAAATTGCAGGTCCTGCAATTTTGATATTGCATGTGGCCATGTTACGATTTTGAAAATGTTTCAATTGTTTAGCCTTATTAAGAAGTCCAAGTGCCCCCATTTTAACCCCCATAAATTTGTTATATTATTATTTTTTACGTATTGATACCATCACGGCAACTGGGTCTACATGTAAATCAAAATCTTCTCCACACTGTCAAGAAATAAAATTTGGTGTAGAAAGAGTCCTTTTATGTATGTCCTTTTTTGTCGGCTGAAAAGTGAAATTGAAATATCAGCAAATAAAGCACCCAAGGACATGCGTTCTTCAAATTTTTTTATTATCGATACATGTAATGCAATTACATTAAACTACTTTCAGACTGCCTTTCTTCCTAACAAACTGGAATAAAAACTGTCCAATTGTGTCAACATTTTGTAATGATAATGCTTTAAATTTCTACTAAACATCAATGCAGTTATTAAAAAGTGTAATTTTATTCTCCTGGTAAACATTATTGCACATTCTGCAACATAAAGAGCCGACGTCTCGCTGCGTTGATACACCACAAGATGGCGCAACAATTCTCTTTATTGTGACATCAGAACGTTTTGTTTTATCAGCGCTTTCATCTGCACCAGCTGAATGTAGGTCACTTTTATTTACACAATTATTTTTAATGCTAAACTCAATATATGACTTGTATACTCCCGTATATATTGTTTAGTGTCATTCATAGTTAATTTGAAGAGCAAAGTCAAATTTTACTGTTTTTTTTTTGCTTTATATTTTTATTGTCTACAGTGCAATAAATATATGAAATGCAATATGAATCAAACCATGACTTTATCAGGTTTTTGTGTTGATTTATATCATTAATTATTCCACTACTGTATAGATGCAGTGGATGTAACCGATCTTTGTGATATTCCAGACTTATGTGGCCCAAAATAAAAGAATCAGAATCAGAGAGAGCTTTATTTGACACGTATGAGGAATTTGCTGTGGTGTTAAGGTGCTACACGAAGACAAACATACAGTTGCGATAAATAAATGTAAAATATAGATAAATATGGAATAAACAGATGCAAGTTATAAAAGAATAATAGAACTATGTGTAGAGAAAAAAACATGTGGCACAAGAGGGTTCATCAGAACAAGATGAGCAGATGTACTGATACTATTTTGAAGAAATATTCGATGCTAAAATATGGGTCCTCACCCAGAAGATTTTCAGCATTAAAAACTTAATTTCCTGCGCTCTGGAGACATTTTCTGCACAAATCGATGGGGGAAATGTTTCTATTTATATTACTGCATTGCATTCTGTTATATTTTTCTTTTTATGAATTGTCACCTGCCAGCTAAATTGTTTGTTTCTCTTTGAAGACATTTCCACCATAAACTGATGCAGAATATTTTTTCCAGAATGCAGGAAATCTTCAAAATAGTGTTAAAGATCTTCTCGTCTTGTTCTTGAGCATCGTCAAGTCTCAAGACACAAGTGCATCTTCACGCCCCTAATCTGAGCCCTTGTGTCATGTCATACTGTGTTTTTAATATTTTTATTGGTTGTTGGAAGAAACGTATTGTAGCCTAGGTGAATATCTGCATATCCATTAGATGCAGTGGATGCTAGCGTGTAAAGCAGAATCCAAAACGCGCTTTCAGTTAAATTTAGCTGTGTGGATGTTCCCGAGTGCAGATTCTGATCCCTGCAGGAAGTGAAAGTGCTGCTGCCGCTTTTCCCTTTCGTCCTGTTGCCAACCTGGGAAGCGCTCTCTTCCCGTGGACTACCAGGCTAATGAGAAGTGCTGGCGACAGAGAGCCCACTATTGGCTGTCCCGACTGCCGAGGCTGGCAGGCAGTGGCGACAGGGAAGGACCGGACTGACGGACCTTTTGGTGGAAATACCGAGAGAACACCGGGAACTCGGACGGAAACGAAGGGAATACAGGTTTTAATTTGCGGTTTGGATTTCCCGGACGGACTAAAAACCTCGCTAACGTCCACTGTTAGCTGGAAGTTTTCGGCTCGAGCAGTGATGTGGTGACGCGACTCCACCAAATCCACGGGAAGCTAACGTTAGCAGAAGCGCTAACGTTACTTGATAGATTAATCATTTCAGCATAGCTTTGTGGGCCTATTTCAGGGTTTTTAAAACTCGTTTTTAGCGTTTATAGCAATAATGTAAGAGAGAAGAGATCATGTTGTCTACTTTTATACGAGATAGAGTTTATCCTTAGATGACCAGCTTACGTTATTTTAGCGAAGTTAGTATATAAAACTAGCAAGCGTTAGCTACTTAGCTGGCTAGTAGCTAACGTTGGCTAGCTGTCGACTTTAAACTGACTTCAAGCCAAAGAACTCTGCTTCAAATTAGCTAACGCTAGCAAGGCTACAGCTGTTTCCACGTCACCTAACTGTATAATCACATGTCTACCTGTTATAAAATGTTATTGTCAGCGAGTTGAACTTTATTTTCGAGGATGGCTATTTGTTTTGAGAAACAAAGATAGGCACTTTACTTCCAAAATCCAGAAATGCAATCATCGAAACACCAGCTTACTTAATGCTAGCTTGCTAACGTTGGGTTAGCCGGCCAAACTTGGGAATACTGCCCCCCTGCTCACTTCATGTGGGTTTCGCTTTGAGGCCTTTAGGAAATTATCCCCTTTTTCCACCGAGAAGACCCCTTTTCACAGCCTTAACGCATCGCAGCCTGTGAGTGAGAGAATTGATGTGCTCTGAATGACTCTGTGAAGCTTGACAAGGCTGTAACAGACAACTGGAGGACCTGGACTTTGTTGACAGCATAAAATAACGTGGATTAAATCACAGGCATTCGGAATAACGTTTCACTTCAAAGGTGAGATACAGACGCACGTGAACACTAACCAAACGTGTGTTAGGAGTGACCGTCACAGTTAAAAGCACTGATTGAACATGTACATCAGACTTTGGCTGCTCCATGATCATACTCTATTCTCCATTATGGAAACTGTAATTGTGGAATGCCACAAGGTCAAACTTATCTAAAGTTAATATTTGATTAGTTTCATACTTGTTACAAATTGCATTATAAATAAGTCCCAAGTGGTCTCAGTCTTCTGTCGTTCCTGATTTGTAAAGAAATATTTCAAAATCCCTCCTATGGTTTTTAGGTTTACGCCTATTTAAGTGTCTCCAGATTGTGGTTTGTCATCTTTACCTTTTGACATATGGGATGTCTGTGCTAACGTGGACTGGACCCACCATCTGTCACTCCCTCTGGGTGCCATGTGACCCCCCCCCCCCCCACACATAAACATTGTTGATCCTGAGTGGCTTGACCTGGATATGGAGCGCTGGTTTTGTGTTTTGCTTATGACAAATTAGGTTATGTTTGACTCCTTCCACCATCAGATCATGTATCATCTGAAACATGCAATTTGTGATTGTTAATTAAGGATGGCAGGTTGATTTTTGTCCAGTTAATTCACATGTAAACGGTGTGGTCCAGCTCTTGAACAGTTTTTGGAAGATGCAGTAGAGTCTTGGTGCAATGAGCTGAACACAGTGGATTTGGAAAACAAATGGATTTTGGCATCTCAGGCTGCCACAAAGTTCCTGCTCAACTTGTTCCAATTTGTAAATTGTTGTTCCTTGTAGGTATGTTAAATCCAGCTCACATGATTCTTGGCTTTTTGTCTAGCAGTCTGTCTACAGGACCTAAGCTCCTTGGTGTGGAGAGTGGCTTTAATTCCCCAGACCTTCCTTCCCAGCTGTTGTTAGATGCAACATTACTCAACAAGCTTCAGACAAGGCATCTTTCTTGGTTGCCTGTGATTGATTTAACACTCTCTGTTCTTTTCTGAACAGTACCAATGTTGGTCAACTTGACTGTTTACTATTGACAAGTATATTCAAGTAGTTGTTAACCATTAGTAGAAATCAGTAAGCAGGTTCAGCTGATTCGGCTCTGTTTTTCCTTCTGCTTAGTCAATAAGCTGTTGTAATGGCCAATGCCTCTGTGTCTGCAAAGTATGCTGATTAAATTACCTCGGAGGTCCACGTTTACCTTGTCTAAACTAATCTGCAGAGCGCCGGCGGTCTGCCTTAGAACATGAACAATTTTTTTCATTTTCAAAACCAGATTTAAAACCACTTTAACTTGCAATGTTTCCTTCTTCCAGCTGAGCTATATACTTAAATGTACTGATAGTTTTGTGGCAAGGATGTGTAAATTGTTGTTATTTTGTGGTGTGCATTAGTTGAGGAGGAGAATGAATGGGAAAACAATGTCCAAATTCTGGCTGTGGCAGACATTAGGGAATCCCAACTAATACAAACTCAACTCTCCTTGGACAGGAGTACTACTTTAGAGTCAAATTAATTTGTGCTCTGACTTTTACATAAGAAGGGATTTGTGGGAAATGCTTTGGTGTATTGAGCATAAATTGCAGGAGTGACAGTGACAAAGGGTCTTTTGACTGTTAGATTGGACTCTTTTGCTACCACCCAACTACAGCAGATGTATTTCAGTGGTTTCAAACTACAGCCGCTGTAAAATTTTATTCATGGCTCTCAAAGCACTGAAATAATACATTTGAAAAATGTAACGGTAAAGCGTCTTTCAGAAAGAAGATCTGGGCTGAGAAGCATAATCCATCAACCTCACTGTGAAGATTTTCCAATATTTACTCTGTTTTTGCTGATTATTATTGCCAGGAAACATTTTGGGTGAACGGACCCTTAAAGTGTAGGAGAGAATGAGAGAAGGATCTTCTGCCCTTGTAGGACAGAAGATTTATCCGTTGCAACAGATCTTTTCCACAGCAGATGTTTTGACATGTCCAAAGAGGAAAAAATGTTGGTGTAATCAATAACATTGATAACATGCGTTCCATGTAGATTAGCCACGTCCAGGGGCCCTCTGTTGACCGGAATGTCTTGGTGGGACACTTAATGGAAATGGGCCAGCGTTAATTTCATTAAATCCACCTATCTGTGCAATTCAGATGTCTTAATGCTGACAGCTCTGTACTTTTCTCCATCTGTTCTTCTCGTCTTCCTTCTAACTGTTTTTTTTCTTCTGCTGTCTCCTTCGGTGCTTCTCTGTCCCGTCCTGGTTGTAGATGATGTGCGAGGTGATGCCCACCATCAGTGAGGCCGAAGGGCCCGGCGGGGGGGGTGGCAGTGGCCGTCGGGGCTCTGGCTCCCCGCTGCAGTCGGACTCAGAGGGTCACTTTGAGTCGCTGATGGTGTCCATGCTGGAGGAGAGGGATCGTCTTCTTGACACTCTGCGGGAGACTCAGGAGAATCTGGGCTTGACTCAGGGCAAACTGCACGAAGTTAGCCATGAAAGGGACTCGCTGCAGAGACAACTCAACACTGCTTTGCCACAGGTAAGTGAGAGAGACCTTTTTCATTTCACAGAAAAATACCAGTGCCCTGCACAGCACCCTTTCTGCATGGCTCCTTGCTGCGCGGTCAGCCAATGTGTCAGTCTCTCTTTTGGATGACAGCTTTTACAGATCTTTGGCTCCCACAGCAGAGAAAGTGATACCAGAGTCTGGGATGGTTGTGGGCGTTGTGTGGCCGACTGATTGCAAGGTGCAATGGGGTGTGAACAAAGGCAATTTAGACATTAGGCCTGCCATGGTATGCGATAAGGCATTTTACTTTAAATTAGCGGAGTTTATTTTTCACGAGTAGTCTAATAACTGACACGAGGACCGATCACAATCATTAAAATAAACTTAAAAATAAGTCAAGATTAAATCAACAGAAAAAGGAAGAATACTACATCTGCTATGAGAAAGTATTTTTGTTTTAACAATGGTGAGGAGTGGCGATACAGGATTGCAATGTATTTTACAAAACAAAAATTTTGCAATGTTGCTTTTAAAATATATTCAAGCCTTACTGTGTGCATAATTATAATTAATATGCAATAAGCCCCCTGCAGTAAAAACGTCATCGCTACGCTATTGTTTCTAATATTGGTGTAACATAATGTGGAAGAAATCATGATCCTGACTTTGTTTGCAGGTCTCTGTTATATTAATGACTTATGTTTCTACCTGCCGTGGGATCAGGTTTCCTGTTTTTAATGATGCATAAGAAGAGGCTGGTAATCCGTGGAGCGTCGTTGTATTTTTGGTTAAATATGCATCCAGTATATAAAGTTGACATGCTGTTTATTTTTAGGGTTTGTCTCACATTTAATTAAATTAATTAATAAATTAATTAATTAATTAAATTAGTGAGGGAACTGTGAGGGGTGCAGACTGATTGTACGGCCAGGAAAACTAGATCCAGAGTCAAAACATTCAGACACATTGCTTGATGGCCGGGGGCTCCTTTACTCATGTTTACATGCTATGTAAAGTAATACGCAGAAGCATGCACTGCAAATGTCTCTAATGTTCATACGTACAATTTCACACAAAAGTTGCTCGTTGGTTGACCTTGAGAACAGATTGATGAATTTAATCTGTCAAAATACATAGAAAGTATCAAAAAAAGTAATTTACCGAACCTGGCAAATCAGTTCTCGTAAGCTAAGGACAATGAATCGCGGATTTATTCAGGCAAAAAAGCTAAAGATATTAAGACTGTAATCCTGTTCACAGGGGGGCATCTCACAGACATCCACATGTTTAGGTTGATCAGACTTGTGTTTAATTGCATTGCTTTTAAGCTTTATGGGATAAAAGTGTACATATTTTGATGAGCATAATTGAAAAGTTCTTAATCACATTAGAAGTTCTCTAAAGACTTTTTTTTTCTATTGTGATGCCTTTTATCATTTTCTTAGGATTGGAAATCTGAGTTTTGAAGCTGTATTTCAGTGTCCACTCTAATATATTCATCTTCTCATCCTTTGGTACGTCATCGAAGTATAAAAACTTCATTCAGACTGAGTTCCTGTTTGTGTGTACGTGTGCATGCACGTGGTGTTGTCAGCTGATTATCTGGCTATCTGCCAGGCCTCCTGGGATTTGTATCTGGAAGGCAAGAAAATCCAGCTGTTTAAAAAAGTAGAAGCACTTTATGTGCTGTAATCTGGTGTTAATACACTTTGCAGCATCCTTTTGTTTTTAATGCAGTTTTCATGTCAATCTCCAATCCAAAACTCCCTTCTGGGTCTTTTCACTTGTTTCTGCTAATTGATTAATCACATTATGTAACTGAGGAATTTGATCACTTCACAAGCGTTTGATAAGATTTAACGAGTACACTGAAGATGACGTACTGTCTCTGGCCACATATGTTTTGAATCTGTCACCTTTTTTTAATCGCACATCTCTCTTACCTCCACCTATAACTGTTTCTGTAAATTATCCTCGAAACTCGGTGCTGTTTATTAGTTTGTCAGGGTCGCCCACTTATCCAATCCCGTCGTCAGTGTGTGAATGTTAATTTCTGTTTCTGATGAGCCGTCAGCACCTTAGCCTCTGCCATCAGTGTATGAATGGGTGAATGTGACATGGTGTAAAGGCGCTATGCAAGTACAGACTATTACCATCTGTTTTGACCATGACATGTTGATTTGTCCACTTTAAGATCTGTATTTAAATTGAAGGTGGTTTCTTAATCACAATGGGACTTAAAATGTCTTATAATTATTTAAAATTAAAGAAGGCTCAGCAAAACCCTTATAGAATACAGATTTAAACATTAGTGAATCATTTGAAAGCCCTTATACTTAAATGTCTTATTAGGGCCCGAGCATGAAACATGCGAGGACCCTATTGAAATTGTAAGGATTAGTATTACTCTTTCTCCCAAATGAATCGCAATTTTGACGGCCTAAACTTGCTCAAAAACTCACCAGACTTTGCACACACGTCTCGCACATGGGCGTGGCAAAATGGCTCCATTGCGCCATCTACAAAATTGGAAAAAATTGCCCCCGTGCCACGTTCAACTTACATGCACCAAACCTTGTAGGTGCATGTATCATATCAAGACACACAAAAAAGCCTCAACAAACCATACCCTAAACTTAACAGGAAGTCAGCCATTTTGAATTGAAAGTGTGGTTTGAACCCATTTTTCACATGGTGCGTACTTTAATGAACTCCTCCTACAGAATTAATCCGATCGACTTCAAATTTCTGCTGTGCCTTTTACAGGCATTGATGATGAAAAGTTGTGCTATCTGTGAGTTTTTGTCGATGGGCGTGTCATGGCGTCAAGGATGTACATGCCCAGATCTATACCAAACTTTACATGGTTGATAACAGTCCCGTCCTGAACACATCTACAAGAAAATATTCGCTCAATGTCAACGCTCCACCCACTGGTAACAGGAAGTAAGCAGTTTCTGACAAAAATCATTTGATTCACATGGCATTTTCACAGCGTGGTCCACACTTCACCTACTGCTGCACAACATAGCGGGTGTTGTCTAACACCACCCGGAGGACACAGGAAGTGATGTTTAAGTCCTTCGTGACCGCTCCAAAACGCGTGACACAGGGCGCGTCTCCCGATCTCCGGCTGCTGTGGTGCGGCCGCGTCACGCCTCACGCGCGTTACGGTGCGAGGGGCTGCCCAACGCTGCCTGCAGCTTTTGTATTGTTTTCATCCATTATGGACAAAAGATTATTGAATGCAGCCACATTTTAATATTACTTGGTCAGGTCTATTTAATAGTGGATTGAAAACAAAATGGTGGTGGTAACAGCACAAAGTATTTTCAATAAAAACATATAATTGCTAAATGTATAAACCAAAAGCTAATATAAAATTAAGAACACAATACAAAGCGGGAATGGCAGTTAACCATCATTGATGAGATCAAGATACATTCCTAGTAAACTTAAGAAGAGGGAAACTGGTGCCGCTGTGTTGAAGAGAGTCTAGGTCTTCTGGCTGGAGTAGGTAGATACAGGGGAGGTGCAATTTTCTCCCTTGTTCCCTCCCTCCTGGTGAGAGTACCCATCGACTGGAATGCACAAACATTCCAGGGCAACTCGCTCACACGTCAGCAGCTTTTTCAAACTTCAGCGGTGCCCTGTTGGCTGGTGCTTATTTGTTCTTTTATTTTCTTTTTTTGTAGTATGTGCTCTGTGTGCCGGTCAAATTGGTCCTACAATCAGTTTTAACGTGTCCACAGATACAAGACCCACATGCTGTGGCAAAGTCAGTTTCTGTGTTTCTGTGTCAGCCGAGGCTTGTATTAGTTTTGCTTGAAGTGGGCCTGACTGGATGTGTGTTTGTGCGTGCTGGTGGTGAATCTTCAGCTGTTTTCTACAACTGCTGTGAATATTGGTGGGGCAGTAAAAGAAGGAAGTGGTAGTAGTTAGCTACACACTTTGGTGTTGCTTCATTCAAAAGTTTTCCTCACACATTTTCTAGCAGCACTGTAGACTAAAGCCCCTTTTCCACTGCACGGTACCAGCTCCACTTGCCTTTTTTTGGTTTTCCATTGTGGAAAAGTTGGACGTGTACTTTTTTCGTATCGCGTCTGTCGAGGTTCCAAGCGAGCTGAGGGATATTAAAATGTGACGGGAAAATTGATCAGAGAGAACTGTCACTGTTCACTGCGTCATCATCATTTTACAGTTTTCATACGTTATTTCATCACTAAATCCACTTCTGAGACGTTTTGAGGTGAGAAATCAGCTGTGTAGATTTCGAATATTGACAGTTTTACGAGAAGTGATGAAAGTTTTCGGAGTTGAGGAGCTCCGCAAGTGGCCCTTCGCAGGCAACGCAGTTTTGTGTGGCGTTGCTAAGACGACCGGCTATATTGAGGGGTACTGTCTCTTGGTACTATCTGCAATGGAAAACGGAGGACGGCCAAACTGAGTCGAGTCGAGTTGAGCTGGTACTGGTAATGGAAAAACAGCATAACTCCTTACTCCTTGCTTTGCTGAAAAAGAAATTGTCAAGTGCCAATGATAACCACGACCAGATGAAACGCACCAAAATGTCCCTTGCTTATTTGTTAGTTAAGTAGTCAAATTCAGTGTGTGAGCAAAATTTAGAAGCCTAAGGCAAGGATTATACTTTCCGCATCTGCGAGTACGAGAGGATCTGCAAGGAACTGCGTGATGAAAAAATCCTCATCGGGGGGGGGCGGGGGGGTAGGCGTAGGGTCTGTGCGGACGTCCACGTGCCTCTTGTTTGACCGCGCAGCGACTAGCGCTACCAGGGCACCAACCAATCTACTGTGCATGTGAGGAACGCGTGCGCCAAGCTGACTGCAGAAAGTAGTATAACTTTCTTAGCTTATGGGTAAACAAGCCTTTTCTGTGCTGCACGTTTGTGTGGGGGTGTCACTGACCATTTGAATTGGCCATTGTTGTGTAGATGACTCTTCCGCATGTTAATATTGATGTGTTGTTTTTAGTGTGTGGTATGATGTCTGGTGAGGGCAATTGCCTTTGGG